TCTAAACTTCCAAACACCATGCCAGAAGCCTGTTTGTTAAAAGAGTAGAGGAAAGACCTGGTTGGGTGGCTCAGTTGGTTGGAGCATCGTCCCTTACACTAAAGTTGTGGGTTCGATTCCTGGTCAGGGTGCATTTAGAAGGCAACCAATTTAAGTTTTTCTCGCACATCAATGCTTCTCTCTCTGTCCCCCTTCTCTCTAAAAATCAATAAAAACATATCCCCAGGTGAGAATTATAAAAAAGAAAAAGAGGAGGAAAGAGAGGACTTCTCCTCTTCAGCATGTTCATCTCACAAAGTTCACTCAGGAATATTATTCCTATCCATCTAGCTGCACAGGCCAGAAGCCTGGAAGTCCCCTGGGTTTCTCACTCCCCATACACATCCAACCCAAAACCCAGTTTTGTTCATTCTAACTTGAAATATCTCAACTCCATCTGCTTCTCCTCATTCCCTATGATCACTACCCGAGTTCTGGCCACCATCAGCTCTTACCACAATGGTTTCTGCTCCTTCAATCTTGTCTCCACACAGCACGGTCACAAGGCTATCTCTAAAACATATATCTGGTTATATCATTTTCTCACTTGAAATCCTCCAGAGGTTTCAGGATAACTTTGCCCAAATTCTTTTTTAAAAATATATGGTTTTTATTGATTTCAGAGAGGAAGGGAGAGGAAGAGAGATAGAAACATCAATGATGAAAGGGTATCATTGATCGGCTGCCTCCTGCACTCCCCTACTGGGGACCAAGCCTGCAACCCGGGCATGTGCCTTGACCAAAACTGAACCCAGGACCCTTGAGTCCACAGGCCGACGCTCTATCCACTGAGCCAAACCGGCTAGGGCTTGTCCATATTTTTTATCTTCTATTGGAGGCACTAAGCCTTTGCACAGGCTGTTCCTCTTTCCTAGAACACCCTCTTGTAGTAATTTCTATCCCCTTCACCCTAATGGCGACCTTTTGAGAGCCCCCTGCTCCCATGGGTTAGTTGCCTCTGATACTTCTAGGTACTTCTCACATTTTAGCTAATTAACACACTGCTTTGCAATGGCCTGTTCACATTTTAGCCCTTGACCGGAATCGAACCCGGGACCCTTGAGTCCGCAGGCCGACGCTCTATCCACTGAGCCAAACCGTCTAGGCCACACTTTTATTACTTAAACAACCTGTACTCATTGTTAACTATGTGCCCTATGTACACGATGGAGACCCAGACCTTGTCTTGGAGGACAGGAACTGTTTCTTTGGAGATCTCTCGGAGTCTTAACAGCAACAGGCTCCACACTTTTGTTGAACCAACAATCGAACGTCCTTACGTCCTTTGCCAATCCCTGCTGCCGCGCGGACTTCTGGGAATCGTAGTCTCGGGACTCGAGCCCCTCTCTGTGGCGCAGCCGTGGGAGTTCAGGCCGTTTGGCTGCAGATGCGCATGTGCCGGGAGGCGGGGTGGTGGGACTGCGCATGCCTAGAGGGTGCGGCCTGTAGGCGGCGCGCTGTGGAGGCGGGGGCTCGGGGACTCCAGGCTTTCGCGGCTGAGCCGTCTGTCTGCTAGGATGGCCGGGAGGGGGAAGCTCATTGCGGTGATCGGAGATGAGGACACGGTGACCGGCTTCCTGCTGGGCGGCATCGGGGAGCTGAACAAGAACCGCCACCCTAATTTCCTGGTGGTGGAGAAGGATACCACCGTCAATGAGATCGAAGACACGTTCCGGTACGGTGGCCAGCGAGGCCTGAAAGGGAACCTCTGCTGCCCGGGGGGAGCGCGGGGGCGGCCGGGGCCGGCGGCGCGGGGCTTCCCGACCCAGGCCCAAGCTTAGGCCTGAGGGTCAGAGAGATCGGTCCGCCGACCCTTCGGAGTGGAGGCCTCCGCTCCCCAAATTCCCTTTGAGGGGGGCTATGTCGAGGTCACGGGCTCCACCTCACATGACCGTGTGTCACGAAAGGAGGGGAACGGAGCTCGTGACGGACGCCGCCCCTCGGTCCCACCTACCCGCCGAGGTGGCGCTTCCCGGGCCCAGCCCCTCCGCAGGCCTGGCGGGTTCACCCCCAGAGCAGGCTGCGGGCATTGCCAGCGCTCGGCTGGCTGGCGAGTTGACCCCTAAAGGAACCGCACCCCCGGTGAACACCCAGGCGGCCTCGGGCTCGGGCTTGCTTGTATTTTCAGCTCCCTGCAAGGCCGAGGGCATGATGCCCCCTTAGGGGCGAGAAAACGGAAGCTCAGAGATGACAGGCACATGCGAAAGCCACATACATGATGGGGAAGAGACAGGGTAGACCTGTGAGCCCCGCCCAAACCTGTCTGCCTCCTGAGCGGGGTCCACAGCCTGGCTGTGCTGTCCCCCCGGCCTGCCTGGGGGCTTCCCATTGCCCCGAGCGCCGTGGGCAGCATATCAAGTCCCGGGACCCCCCTCTGCAGGTATGTCCCCAACTTCAGGCCGTGTCCCGGGGACCAGAGCTGAGGAGGCCCCTGTGCTTCCCTTCACCCCTTCCCTGGGCCCCTGTCTTGGTTCCCAAGTCCCAGGAGCAAAGCACTCCCACCTGTTTTGCCCTAAACAGCCCAGTCCTGAGCTGCCAGTTGAGACTGGTTCCTGTTGCCTGGGAGTGACCCAAGTTGTCCTGGGAGGACACATTTTGCCTCAGGAACTTGCCATTTTTTTTCCAACCAAAAGGGACCTCAGAGATCAAGTCTAACTTACCCTAGGCCAGTGATGGTGAACCTTTTGAGCTCGGTGTGTCAGCATTTTGAAAAACCCTAACTTCACTCTGGTGCCGTGTCACATATAGAATTTTTTTGATATTTGCAACCATAGTAAAACAAAGACTCATATTTTTGAGATTTATTTTATATATTTAAATGCCATTTAACAAAGAAAAATCAACCAAAAAAATGAGTTCGCGTGTCATCTCTGACACGTGTGTCATAGGTTCGCCATCACTGCCCTAGGGTCTGGCACAGAGTAGGTGCTTAGTCAGTAGTTTTTAAATTTTCTTTATTTTATATATAGATATAGATATCCGAGAGGGAGAGGGAGAGAGACATAGAAACATCAGTGATGAGAGAGAATCATCGATCAACAGCCTCCTGCACACCCCACACTGGGGACCACGCCTGCAACCCCGGGCATGTGCCCAGACTGGGAATCAAACACTGAGCCACGCTGGCCAGGCTATTTTATTTTTTAAAAATATATTTTTATTGTTTTTAGAGAGAGAGGATGAGAGTTGGAGAGAGAGAAACATCCATGAAAGAGAAACATCCATTGGCTGCCTCCTGCACGCCCCCTACTGGGAACATGTGTGACCTCTTGGTGAATGGAACGACACTCAGTCCACTGAGCCACACCGCTTGGTGTAAATCGTTTTTTTAAATTATTAATGTTAAGTTTATTGGGGTAACATTGGTTAATAACATCATAAAAATTTCAGGTGTACAACTTTATAATACAAGTAAATCGTGTTTTTTTTTTGTTGTTTTTTTTTTAAATATATTTTATTGATTTTTTACAGAGAGTAAGGGAAAGGGATAGAGAGTTAGAAACATCGATGAGAGAGAAACATCGATCAGCTGCCTCCTGCACACTCCCTACTGGGGATGTGCCCGCAACCAAGGTACATGCCCTTGACCGGAATCGAACCCGGGACCCTTCAGTCCGCAGGCCGATGCTCTGTCCACTGAGCCAAACCAGTCAGGGCGTAAATCGTTTTAATGGAGAAATTAATGAATGAATAGGTGGGTGATCACAAGAAAGGAAGGTCCCAGTGTCAGGTTCCCTCTGTGTGGAAAGTGTGATTCCTTCATTACTCATCTTCCTCTTACTACTCAGTGTTCCTAGCTCATGCCCAACTTCCCCAATGGTCCATCCCTGCCCGCATCAGCATAGACCTTGAAGCCTTGAGTGGTCTTATCAACCCCCTTTTTAAAAGTTTAATTTGTTTTACTTTGAAAAGTTAATTGTCCATGCGGTTTGCAAATTAATACTTAAAAGGTATACACGTTAAGAAGTCTCATTCTCATCCCTGTTCTTTTCCACCTCATTACCCCTGTGCATACCCACTGAGCTTCTTCCTGCTTTTTCTTTGCGGGCGCAAAGGGGCAGTCACGTCTATTATCCCCTCCCTCTCTTACACAAAGGCAGCACGCGGAATACACTGCACCGAACCTGCATGGCCAGTGCACTTGGGAGCCTTCTCAGCAGGGGAGGCAGAAGCCAGCCCTGACCACCATGACCCTCAGTTTCTGAATGAAATTGATTCTGGGATGAGAGGATGGAGGGTTTAGTGTAGCAACCTTTACCCTTGTCTTCTGTGCTCCCTGGAAGAAGCCCATACCCCCTTGCAGCCGAGCCCACCAACTGGGAGTTGGCTGCCCTGGACTCCCTTCTCATCTCTCCCAACAGGCAGTTTCTAAACCGGGATGACATCGGTATCATCCTCATCAACCAGTACATCGCAGAGATGGTGCGGCATGCGCTTGACGCCCACCAGCGCTCCATTCCGGCCGTTCTTGAGATCCCATCCAAGGAGCACCCCTACGATGCCGCCAAGGACTCCATCTTACGCAGGGCCAGGGGCATGTTCACGGCCGAAGACCTGCGCTAAGGCACTCCCCACTCCCCTGCTACCTCTCCCTGCTTGCCATCAGCCCCTAAGTTTGGAGCCTCTGATTTCCAATTCCCTGCCCCTTCCCACTCCATTGAGAGGCTAAATGAGGTGCTTCCACGTTGCTGGGGCTCTGTCAGTAAAATTAAGGCTGGTTGTTAGGGAACAGGAAACCTGATTGTCTTCTCTCTCCACTACCTCTCCCCTGTGCTGTTACAGTGTCATTGTTGATGTTAAATTAAAATAATGTTCTCTCCAAACCAAGTCTGGATGCCAGAAAGGATACACGTGGGATGATGCTCTTGGAGGGATTAGATGGGCAGGGCTGGAAAAGGTTCTGCCAGAGATCAAAGCAGAGAGAAGTTGGGTAAGGAAGGTTGTGCCAGGAGGCCATAACTCAAAGACTGGTCCTCTGAATCAAAGACGACCAGCTCTGGCAGGGAGGATGGGAGGAGACGAGCCCAGACCCCTGGCTCCCCAACTTCAGTCTGTATTGGCTGGGGGGACCTGACCCAAGGGCTGGAAGCAGAAAGCACAGGAGACCTGGAAGCCTGGGATGCTAGCCTGGGCCTGGGTCCTGCAAAAGGTTTGGGGATCAAGGCTCTTAGCCAGTGGGCCTGGCCCGAGGCTGCCCCAGGGAGCGAGGCATGTGAGGTCTGCTGAGGGCATGGCAAGTAGAACCCTGGCCCTGTGTGAGGTGAGGCTTGGTTGCCTGGTGACTGTCCCGGGCCAGCCACCTGCTGTCAAAAGGACTCTGTTTGCTGTGCTCTCCCCTCAGCTGCACTCACCCTGGTACCTCTCCTCTTGCCACCATGTCGCGGCGACTCAACATAGATTCTGTGCAGCAGAACTTCTGGAAGGAGGAACTTACGAGGGAGCAGAAGTTGCGGTGTGAATGGCACCTCAAGTATGGGTCGATGGTGAAGGCCAAGCAGAAGGCTATGGCTGCAAACCGTCTACCCCTCAAACTGCCCACCCTGTATCCCCAAACCCCACCCTCACTCCCACCTGCCCCCAAAGCAGTCCCTTCCAGAGTCCCCTCCCCTGCCCTGGAGGCTCCTCAGCAGGCAGAAATGTACCCAGTACTGCCTGCCACTCGGGCCCTGCTGTATGAAGGCATCTCCCACGACTCCCAGGGGCGTTGGTGCTATCTCAACACCCGAAAACTGGACGTGCCAGAGAAGCGCTACCTCTTCCCCATCACCACCAACTTCACATATGGCTGGCAGCTGGGTGAGCCACAACCTTCTGGAAATTCCCTCATGAGCAGGCACCTGTCGGGAGCCAGGCAGCGTGCTGGGCACTAGGCACATGGACACTCCTTTCTGGGGCGTCCACTAAAGCACGAAAATGAGCAGGAGGTGGTCCGGGTGGGACCAGGGAGTGACGGGGTGTGTGCTGCTTTAGATGGGATTGTGAGGAAATGCCTGACTGGGCGCCTAAATGACAAAGAGGAGTTTGGGATGTATTCCAAGTGTGAGGGGAAGTCAGTGGAGGGTTTTAAGCAGGTAAGTGCATTGATTTATTTGTAAAAATCACTCTTTTTTTTTAAAAAAATACATTTTATTGATTTTTTACAGAGAGGAAGGGAGAGAGATAGAGAGTTAGAAACATCGATGAGAAAGAAACATCGATCAGCTGCCTCCTGCACATCTCCTACTGGGGGTGTGCCCGCAACCCAGGTACATGCCCTTGACCGGAATTGAACCTGGGACCCCCCAGTCCGCAAGCCGACGCTCTATCCACTGAGCCAAACCGGTTTCGGCTAAAAATCACTCTTAACTGTATGCAATGGCTTTTCCAGGGGAAGCGTAGATTGGCAGATGAGTTAGGCAGCTACTTTGAGCTTTCCTGGCAAGAGATGATAGCTTGGGCCAGGGCAGTTAGCAGAACTGAAATATATTCAGTTTTGGAGGAAGAATACATGAAACTTTCTGATGGATTGAATGAGAGAAAAGAATGCACTGATGACAGCCAGGTGTTTGGCTGAAGTCGCTGTGACGGAAGACTAGGAGAGGAGCAGGACTGGAGGGTGTGTGAAGACAGGTCAGCGCTGGCCATGTGCTGGAGGTCAGTGAGGCTGGGTGTGGGAGTTGTCCTCTGGAGCCAGGTGAGAGCTGAAGATGTGAATTTGGAGTCATCAGAAAATAGGTGCTCTTTAAAACCCTGAGATGGGTTGAGCTCACCCAGGGAACTCCAGATTCTGGGGTCTGACAGGAGGAGAGGCAGGGGGCACAGGGGGAGGGAGATGGTGTGGGTGTCCCTCTGCACTGAGTCCACTTTTTCCTGGAGGCTGAGTCAAGGTCATCAGTGGGGGGAGAGGAGCGGAGGTTGTGATGTAGTTTGAAATGAAGAGTTAAGGTGTGGGAAAGGAGCATGCCAGGGGGTGGTGCGGGATTGCTGGGTGATGCTGTGTCCCTTTGCTCTCTGCGGTCATGAGTTTCAAATGAACTAAGTTATGTGTCTCCAGCTGCTCTAGTGCCTGAGCAGAACAGGGGATGGTTGGTTGGGGATACACACCGTTTAAAGTTTGCCTAAAAAGTCTCCCCCCTTTCCCCAGAGCCCTAAAAGGGAAGTAAAGGGAGCAGTTTTCCAACCAGCGCAGGAGGTAGAAAAAAGCCCCAGCTTCCCCAGAGAAGTCTAGCTTTGTCCCTGTGAGCAGGGCGGGGTCCTGCCACCCTTTTCCTGGAGGATCCTGAGGCTGGGGGCAATGAGAGCACACAGCGGAATGGCATTCTGCCATCACTGCTGATCCGCCACCAGCCCACTCCATTTCCCCATAGCCCCCACTCAGAAGCACTATTTATTTATTTATAATATATTTTTATTGACTTCAGAGAGGAAGGGAGGGGGAAAGAGAAACATCAGTGATGAGAGAGAATCATTGATTGGTTGCTTCTTGCACCCCCCCCCCCCCCCACACACACACACACAGGGGATCGAGCACACAACCCAGGCATGTGCCCTTGACTGGAATCGAACCTGGGATCCTTCAGTCCACAGGCCGACACTTTACCCACTGAGCCTACCCGGCTAGGGCCGAAGCACTTTTTATTTATTCACGCTTACAGAGTGGATACAATAAGGTCAGATTCCTAAGGCTGGGTAGGCAGAGCTGCCATGTTCTGCGAGTTCCTTTCCCTGGAACCCATTCCTGGCCTCTGACATCTTTTCCCAGGCCCCACACCGAAGCAAGAAATGGCCTCCACCAAGATGTGCCGCGTTGACTCGTTCTTCCGCAAGAACGGGGCCTTCTCATCCCTTGACCCCCGGGACCTGGTCCTCTGACCGGGCCAGGCAGTGTGCTTGGGGCTGGAGGAAGTCACGCGCCACCTGGTGGTGTGTGAGTCTGGCTCTCCCGGGCTCTGAGGCTGCGTTCTGGGCCTTTCTGAAACTACCTCTGATCTGCAGGTTGCCCTCTTGTTTTTCCTTCTCCTCCACCTCTTTCATCGTCCCTTTGAAGGCTCAGCAGTGGTTAGAGGGGGTGAGCGCTACCCTCCGGGCGCAGGCTCCTCAGCGCCAGGGGGGCAGAGTAGCTGCTGGAAGTTCTGTGTTCCTGGGGGGAGAGTGGCCTGTTACCCCAGATGCCCGGGAAAGGGGACCGCCACCACCCCACCCACAAGCCTCTCCCTGCCCCCCTCACCTGGCTCCGAGGGCCCGCTGCACCTGTTCCAGCTGCACCCGCAGGGCACGCCGCTGCCCGCCTTGTCCTGTGTGGTGCCAAGCGCTAAGCGCCCTGTATCCCAGCCCACGGCTCGATGGAGCCAGCAGGGCGCAGCACCAGGTCAGACCCGCTGTCATTACCCTGCCCCCATCGCCATCCCCCAGCTGTGTGGGTGGCAGCTCCAGGGCACTTCGAAGGGACCCAGGTGGGCCCCCACCCCCCTATCCCTGTCTTCTCCCGGGGATCTTGCCTGTGGTGGGAGCTGAGCTGGACGGGGTGGAGGCCCCAGAGGGGTGCACCCGGCAGTGGCGGTTCCCGGCGATGAGGACCTGGAGGGAGAGCCGTCACCGGCGGTGGCCGCCTTCCGTGCCCAGCCCATCAGCGGGCCCTCCCGCGCAGGATGTACCCAGAGCCGCTGCTGCTCGCGGTCCTGCTGCAGCCAGTGCCTGGCCGCTCTGTGCCGCGCCAGCAGCCGCTGCAGGGCCGTCTCCTGCTGCGTCTCCTGCTGCGCCGCGCTCACGCCCGCCCAAGCCTTTTCCCTGCCCTGCGGTCTGGGACACGCGGCCTTCGAGGCCTTGGGGGCCGGAGCAGCGCTCCTCCGCCCCTCGAGGGTGCCCGGGTACCTCGCCTCGCCCACTGGTTTCTCTGCTGGGCAGGGTCCCCCTGCCGGATCCTGCAGCCCAGGGTACCCCGGGAGGGCTGTGGGGCGCTCCTGCTGCTCAGAGCCCGCGGAGCTCCGCGCTCCTGGGCCCGGGCGAAGGGGAGCCAGCGCCCCCTGCCGGCCGGCCCCCTGCTGCCCCAGGGCCACCGCGGATTCTAGTCTCTGGCTGTGGGTCTTGTCCTGCGTCAGCTTGGTGCTCCTTCCCCGGGGCCTGGGCGCTCCCTTCTGGGAGCTCCCTTCCCCCAGCTGCGGCCTCTGTCCTGCCGGAGACCTGCAGGCGTCCTTCCCTCGAAATCCCTCGGAAAGTCTTCCTCCTGGGCCTGTGCGGGCGCCTCGCCCTTGAGCCACCTCCAGGCTGGTGGAGGTTGGCTCCGCTCCAGAATGTGGAAGGCTCTACTCCCCCTCTGGAGGCCCTCTTTCCTCAGGCACTCTGGCTGTTTCTTTCTTCATCTTGAAGAGCATCTTCTCACCCCGAGGGTCTCCCCCCAGACCCACAGAGATCTCTTGTTTCAGAGCCGGAGTAGCCTCCCCACTCTGACCCTGGTTTGCCTTCTCTCTCTGACTCTGAGGAACTTCTTGTGCTCCCCGTGGGGGGCTCCCCGTCCCTGATCCTGAGGGTCCCCCTCTCTCCGACTCTGAGGAATCGGAGTTTCTGAAGTTCCGCTCTGTCCTGGTCCAAGCCCCAGCCCAGCCCCTGGGGGGATCCTGGGATAGTGGCAGGCCCTGGGAAGGCAGGCCTGAGGGCCCGCAGCCTTCCAGATGATGGTGGAAGGGGGCCTGGGTGGTGGGCTCTGCTGGGCCCTCTCTTCCTTCTGGACCAGATTCAGGGAAGGAAGCACTTTGTCCTAGGCTGTGAGGGAATCCCTGTGCCAGGGCCACCTCCACCCCTCCCCCAGAGGAGCCTGGAGACCCCAGTGGCTGCTCCGGTGGCCTCCCTTCCATATGGCCCTTGCCTGACTCCTGCATTTGTTAACCCGTGTTATGTAGTGTAAACGGTGCTTCAGCAATGGTCCCGTCCACCTCGCTACAGGAAGTCCCCCTGCCTCACCCCAGCAGCCTCTTCCACGGCAGAACCCACCCCTGCCGCCCCCAATCTGAGAGGGCCCTTGCCCAGGACCCTCTGACCCCTTCACCTTGAATTCTGAGTTTCCTGGTTCCCCAAAGCTACTGCTGGTGGTGGGGTCCAGCTCTCGTAAGCAACCTGAGAGAGAAAGATTGATGTAAGGAGCCCTCTGCACATGTCCCAGCCCCTCACACACATCCCACCTGGACTGGAGCCAAGAAGCCTAGGGAATCCCCGGCAGATAAAGGGAGGGGGCGCCCAGATAGCTGGTGTTTGAACTTCAGAGCTCTCGTAGTTCATTGTTCCACCTGTATTTACACAGCCTACTATGTGCCTGCTTGTCAGGTTTCCCCGCCTACAGCCGACCGCATCTTTCTTATCTTCCCCTCCAAGCCAGACCATCTCCCTGGAACCCCACACCCTCTTCCTCCACCACAGGATGCCTTGGAGCAGGAAGGGCCTCGTTAGGACACCCCTACTTTGTCCTGATGGGCCCATCCAGGCCCATAAAAAAACCACTGCATGTACCCCTGTTAGCTCTTTTTTTGGTTTCTGACAGCAAAATCAGACAAAATTCAAGAATTGAAATCTTAGGCCAGAGCCGAGCCTCAAAACTGCAAGTCTGCATAATCAACAAAAGGAATCTAAAAAGGGAGATGAGAGGTCGCTGCTCCCTTGCAGCTGTGGAGGGAGGCAAGTCGCTCAGTATCCTTAAAACTAGTTTTAAAAAACTTGATTTCATAAGGTCTTAAAGTGGGACCCTTCTCAAGAACATCCCATCTTTATGCAATATGGATGTGGGGATATTCATAACTGTAACCGAAAGAGAATGTTTGTTCTCTGTGAAAATAAATCTGTCTTTTGACGAGTTTCTGAGCACAGGGGTCCGATAAGACTCCCACACCTTCAGAAATTATTGCATAAACTGTGAAAATAGCCTCCAGCCCCTTCCTCTGAATATAATTGTAAAAATTTCTCTATCAATTAGACAATAGTCATTGGCACTTTCTTCCTCTCAAACATATGAAAGAACAATTAAAAGCTGCCCTGTCTGCTTGATCATGGTCCCATTTACCGAAAGGTCACTATTCGAATCCCAGTCAGGGCACATGCCCAGGTTGCGGGCTCGATCCACAGTAGGGGGTGTGCAGGAGGCAGCTGATCAATATTTCTTTCTCTCTCTGTCTCTCTGTCTCTCTCTCCCTCTTCCTCTCCTTCTCCCTCTCCCTCTCTCTAAAATCAATAAAAGCAAATTTAAAATGCTTATGGGTTTGCTGGGCTTATTATTTAACAAATCCTTTGAGAGTCTGTCTTGTTTAAACTAACAGGTCCAGGGCTCACAGCATCTATCTCACTGATTCTAATCCCCTGTTCATGGTCACACTCGCTCACTAGGCTGTGCTCTCCTCAGAGACAAGGACCAAGTGATGGGGCAAGACTTTCATGTACTTGGCGTATCCCCAGTGTCTAGCATAGGGTGGCCCACAGGCTATTCCATTCCCTCCTCCCCGAGCAGCCATGGACAGACATTGCCCACCTCTCTCCCCTGAGCTCCAAATTAGTTTCAAAATCCCCCTGGACACAGTGCCTGAGACAGCTGCTACAAATCAAGGGGAATTGGCACATAAAATAAAACCTACTTGCCGTTCTTGGGTGCCCCGACACCCAACTAAGAGCTATGAGATGAGGAATGAGTGAGGAGTGGACTGCCTCCCCCAGTGCATTCTGGCCCCCTCAGCCCAGGGCCCTGCTGCCTGGATGCCGACCCCTCCTGTCAACATCCCGGGTGTGGGCTCTGCAGGCACGCCAGGGCTCTCCCACCTGGGTCTGTGGCACTCCCGGCTTCCCCCAGATCTGGGGCTCATGATGGGTCTGCAGCCAGCCCCCTGTAAGTGTGCAAAAGCTGCCTCAGCTGCACCTCTTGCGTCTGGGCTCTGGAAGGGGAGGGGCAGCCTGTCTGCCAGTCTCCCCACCCCCAGCAGCTGCTGAGCCTTCCCACCCAACATTCAAACACCATGCGGGGTGACCTGCCCCAGCCCCTGTACCCACCACTGGATCCTGGGAGCTGGACCTGGGGGTTACCCTTCCCAGGGGCTGTGGGCAACCATATGGGTGCAACTGAGCGAGAGCCCCAGGAGGACCATGTGTGTGAGGAGGGGTGCTGGGCGGGGCTGTGGAAGGAGACCAGGGAAAGGGCCAGTGTTCGGTCTCTTTATGTGGCAACACCCAGTGCACAGATTCCCTGGGAGAAAGACTCACCCCTCCAGGAACTGGTGGTTCTGGCTCAGGGTGTCCCCAGCCTGGTGTGAGGAGCACAGCCTGGAACACTGGAAGGATTAGGGGGCCTTGTCCCCAGGACACCAGATGGTAGGCAGCCTCTAAAACGCCCCTGAGATGCCCCCTTCTGGCATCCATGCCCTTGGATGACGCCCTCCCCTACCCCTCCAGGTGCAGGAGCTTGGAAAGGGGTCCCTCCTGCCCATGGGAGCCCTCAAATGAGCCTGCAGTCCTGGCCGGCAGGTGGTCTGGACAGGTCATTGGACACACCCTCCTGCTCTCGCCTGGGAGGCCTCGGCCCAGACCCGGCTGCCAACCTGCCCGAAGGGCCTCGGCAGTTGGTGGCTGAGCTGGACCGGAGACGGCCGTCGCTCCCAGTCACCACAGCACCCGCTTCCTGGAGGGAGGGCTGCGGAGGGGCCCTCAGTGTGCCGCTCGGGGCCTTGCCAGCCTGCTCTCCTCCCACGCTGCAGCCATGTCTAAGCTTCTGGGCATCACCACGCAGTGGACTGACCAAGATGGGTGTTGGCTGTGGGATGGTAGCAGCCGGCACAGGACGAGCAGGCCCATGCTGCGGGCACAGTGCCACGCCCTCCTCATGGATGAGCTCCCGGTGCTCCCAGCAGCCCTCTGAGAAGGATGTTCTCTTCCTCGTCGTGTGGCTGAAGGAATAGAGGCTACAGCCCCACCGTGTCGGAACAGAGATCTGAACCGGATCCATCTGTCTCCAAAGCCCAAGCTCCTCCCACTCCTCACCACTACGACTGCCCCAGTGACCCCCCTGCCTCAGCCAAGCCCCACTCACCCCACTCATCAGCTGCTCTGAGTCCCCACACACCCTACCACGGGCCTCGCTGCGCTGGCTCCTCGCTGGACACTGGGCCTGGTCCCTCAGACCACAGAACTGGGCCCGGGGAGGCCAGAAGAGGCCCAGCCCCACCCCAGTCAGCAGCTCCAAGTCCCACAGGAGCCGCAAAAAGATGGGGTGCCAGAATGTGAGAGGGTACCCACCCTGACTCTGCCACACCCCCAGGCAGCCCCTCCCTGCTCCTGGGCCCGCCGGCTCCATGCACCTGGGGAGGTAAGGTTGGGTCAGGCCCCACAGAGGCCCTGTCCCCTCAGAGGCAGTGCCCTGCCTCCCTCACCTGCCGAAGTGCAGCCCAGAGCTGGCCCAGGCCTGCAGGGCATCGGAACAGGTGCTGGTACAGAGCCAAGACCTGCTTGGGGCTGCAAGGGAGCCTTAGGCCCCCAGGTGTAGCTGCCTGCACCATGGAGTAGGGGTCTGAGCAGATGTCCCCTCCCCCTCTCCCAGTGCCACTAGAGACTGGAGATGGACAAACAGGAGCTGCTCACAGGAGCCAGAGACAAAGCCCCTGAGCGCAATAATGCAGGACCCTGATATCTGAGCCTCGGCCTGGGCCCACCAAGTCTCCTGGAGCTCTGACTCCGAGAAAGGTTTCTGGGTCATGGAGGTGGCGGTGTAGGGTCAGGAGTGTGACCCTTCCAGAGACAGGTGTGTGCATGTGCTTGTTTGCATCCCAAACGAGAACCTGTTTTACATCCACATACTTACATGTACATATGAAGCTGCATTACATAGGCACCTCACATGCTCCACATGGGCAGCAGCTACCAACAGCCAGGACACAACTGCTCCACACTTGTGACCTTTCCTCACAGCAACTTGATGAAGTAGGCCAGTGATGGCGAACCTTTTGAGCTCGGCATGTCAGCATTTTGAAAAACCCTAACTTAACTCTGGTGCCGTGTCACATATAGAAATTTTTTTATATTTGCAACCATAGTAAAACAAAGATTTATATTTTTGATATTTATTTTATATATTTAAATGCCATTTAACAAAGAAAAATCAACCAAAAAATGAGTTCGCGTGTCACCTCTGACACATGTGTCATAGGTTCGCCATCACTGAAGTAGGTGCTATCATTCTCACCCCCATTTTACAGGTCAGAACACTGGGCCCCAGAAGTAAGCTGCCCTAACCAGCAGGTGGCACTGTCTCCCTCAGCTGGAGATGGTGGCGGAGATAAACAGGCTCTGGGAAAACGTGGCCCCTGAGCGTGAGCCAGCACAGGCAGGACAACGTGAGGGGCAGGCCATGGCGCGTGCTTCCCTAGCGCTGGCTCCAAGCTGTCCCCATGCAGAGCGCTGTTCATTCTGCTTGTTCCTTGCAATACGTCAGATGAGGACACAGCCTGCATAAGCTATAACTAGGGGAGGGAATGAAGACACGAGATGCTGTGATCTTCGCCGTCTCTGCTGCTGCTCTAACCACTCCACGAGGGCAGGGAGCCCAGAGAGCAGCCTGGCAGAAGCAGCTGAGCAAGCAGACAGGTGACCTCAATCCAGCCCAACACGCTCCCCTCCTCCTGCTGAAATATTAGGGACCCAGCAATGAGAGCAGGGCCCCCTTTAGCCAAGGTCCCTAACACACCGAGGTCATATAGCCAGTAGGAGGTAAAGAGAATTCAAGATAGAGTTCACTTTTAAAAGATGTTTCCCTTTTCAAAGAAATAGAGTTTTTCTATTTCAAAGCCCATGTTCTTTCCCCTACAAGGATGTCTTCAGAAATTGCACGTGTGTCCCGGACCCACAGGCCCATCAGGGTGGGCGTGGCTGTGGATGCACACAGGTATACACGCTTGTTGGGGGGGTGGGGTCTGTGCACTTGTATCTGTGTCTGTATTTCATCACGGTCCTGGTCCCCACTCCAGGCACAGGGTCCCTCTATCACCAGCTCTGAGCGGCCCAGGAGGCCCTTGAGCACTTGATATCCCCAAACCAAGAGAAAACAGGATGCCATGTGGGGACTGAGCGTCTTCTCCGTGCACTTCAGCCCCTGCAGGATTCCACATGATCCACAGAGGGTGCCCCATCGGGGCCACAGGCCATGCCTGCTACCTGCAAACGAAGGCTGGGACCAGGAGTCCTGGCTCCGCCTGCCCACTGCAGGGCAGCACCAGGGTGTGGCGGGCGGGGCAGCCCAGGGATGCAGGCACGGGAGTGAGCAAGGTCCAGAGCTGAATCCCCACAGCTGCCACCCCTCTGACTCTGGGGACACTGACTTCTGGCCCCATGTCCCAAGCAGCCCATGTCGCCGCCCCAGCACCAGGAGGAAGCACACGCACACACACAAGGCAGCTTAGGTCAGGCCCCGAGTTTACTGCTTCTGACTCAACACGGCTGGGGTTTTTGTGTGACATGGGCCCAGGCTCCCAGTGCCAGCGCAGGGCACTCTCGCTGAAGCTCTGGCCAGGGTGGGAGCTGCTCTCCAAGGAGAGCCTTCTGGTCTGATGAGTCCCAGTCGCTGTCATCCTGGGTCAGGTGTCCCCCGGGACTCCTGGCTGGGGCTGAGCAGATCTCGGGGTGGCTGGTCCCCAGTGAGTAGGACTGGGGGGCAGGCCTCGGGTGGGATACAGTGGGCTTCATGCTCCACCAGGCCTGCAGGGCACTGGCAGCCGGGAACACAGGGCCTCACACAGTCGGCAGACAGCTCCCCCAGGGGGACGTGCTGGTTGAAGCAGGTGCGGGGACAGGGCGGGCCACACTCATCGAACACGAAGCCACGGTCCAGGGGGCAGCCCACCACTGCAGGCAGAGTGGAAGGCGGGGCTCCAGTCACCTGCTCACCCCTTGCAGCCCTCCCTGTGCCTCCCGCACCCAGATCTGGCCCTCTGTGCCACCCCCTCCCCCATGCCACCCCGGGCACTGCTGGCTCACCACAGAGCGTCGGGCCCCGCCAGGCCGGCGTCGCCCCTGCCTGGCGACAGTGGCTGGCATAGGCTTCCAGGGCATCGCAGAGGCAGGTGTCAGCCGAGGAGCCAGGGCCACAGGCACACAGGTCATACACACAGGCGGCAAAGAAGGGCTCCGGCGGCACCACAGCGTGGCAGCGACTGAACGGGGAGGACTTCAGCACCCCGCACCGGGCGTTGGCCTCACGCCGGGCACGGTAGCCTGCTGCTCGGCAAGGATGCACCTCCCGGCCCTTGGAACAGGGCCGACCCGGTCCCGGCCCCTCGGGGACCTGGGTGGGGAAGGTGACCCTGGTGTGACCGCATCCTTGGGCAGCTGGCCTTTGTCTGCCGTTCTTCAAAGCATTTCCCACCCAATGTTTTGTTTTAGCTTCAAAACCCCTCTTACAAGAATAGCAAAGAATGGGGGGATAAGGACACATATGTACTAGTAATACCTTAATCAATAAAAAGGGGGAAAAAAGAATAGCAAAGAAAGCATGAGCTACTTTTCTTTTGTCCCATTTTGGGGACAACCAAGGCCCAGAGCAGGCAAGTAACTTGTTCAAGGTCACACAGCCTGTGAGTAGCAACGCAGGGCTTGGGGAGTCAGATGATGAGGCCACTTTCAACAGGCCTTTCTGCCTCCTCCAGTTCCATGCCAGGCAAGAAGCTCCCAAGTCAGCCTGAAAGTCCCAAAGCCCATCTTGTGTCCACCCTGCTCCCCATGTCCACACCAAAGGGCTGCTCTGAGACTCATGCTCAACTGTGCCGTCTCCAGCCCGATCCCCGACCCCCTAGGCCCCGGGCTCCTGCACCACTCACCTGCCAGCTATTCCCAAAGGCAGCCTCAGTGGGTTGGAGCAGCCCCTGAGGGCCCTGCAGATCATCCTGGGCAAAGCCATTGAAGTTCCCACAGAGCCCACAAATCTGGCCCCGGTAGGAGCCAGGCACTCTCACCTCCACCTGGGACTGCCCATCCCACAGCACCTGTGTGGAGAGGCTGGGACTGGAGAGAGGGGAAACAAAAGCCCAAGATCCGCCCTGGCCGCACACACAGTGTCAGCGCGCCCCCTGCTGTAGGAGGGAGGAGAAGGCCCTGGCCCAGGCCCCGCGGGCACAGGCTGCGGGACTATGACAGCCAGCACAGCCCCGGGGAAGGCACCGGCCGTCAGCATCCCCGAACTGGGCCCCCAGGTGAAATGCACCCACTTCCAGAGATAGACTATCTCCTGGGTGCTCAGGCCTCGCAGAGGACAGGACGGACGCAGTTAGAGTTTGTATCCCAAGTGTAGCCAAGTCCTATTCTAGGAATTTACAAAGTGTGCTTCTTGCTGGATGCGGGGGAGTGCATCACTCCTTGGCATGGGAGCTGGAGGGACTCCTGAAACCGCCTAGGCCCTAGGAGACCTTAGTTGACCCTCCCGCGAATCCTTCCCCGATTTTACCCACGAGGAAACCGGCCCACAGAGGACTGGTCCAGGCCCAGGGCCCAGTGTGTTGATGGCTGAGCCAAGATTAGAAACCAGGCTCAGAACTTCCATTGCACCGGAGGTCTCCGGACTCTCCCACCTCCGTGTGGCCGGGAAGTAGCTGGTAACCCCCGCGCCCTCCACAGAACAGCAGCCTGAGCAGCCCCAGGCCCCCCCCCCCGCCCCCCATGGCCAGGCCGCACCTGGAGCCCCGGCTGGGTGTGCAGGATCACAGTGCCTCCCCGCAGCTCCGCGTACAGCAGCGGCTCCTGCAGGAAGGGCAGGGCCACAGGGCGCCCGTCCACCTAGAGGAGAGGGAGGGCGGGAGGAGGGGCGACGTGGGGACGGAGGCCTGGACGGCGGCGGGACTGCCCTTCCCGGCCCTCTGCTCGCCTCACCGTGACCGCCCCGCCCTGCAGCAGCCGCACGGCCACGTCTCCCAGCAGCACCGCCACCTCCTGGGTCCAGGCCACGCCGCTCCGGCCCCGGTCAGTGTTGGTCACGTGCACACTGCGGAGCGAGAGGCCGGCGCGGTGGTCAGCAGGAGAGGGTGCGGGGCGGGGAGCAGGCAGGGGGCGCTGCGCACCTGAAGTCCCCTCCACGGCAGTGCCGGGCCAGCACGTAGCTGCAGCTGCCCTGGAAGTGCAGCAGGCGGCCGTCGAAGGTGCGGTAATGGGGGTCTCCGAAGGCCATGCAGGAAGCCGGCCGCGGCAGGCAGCGGGGGCAGCAGCTGCCGGGATTCAGGGCGGGAGCCTCGTCCTGGCCTCCGCCCGGGACAGAGTCAGACACGCGGTCCCGGCGGAGCCCCACGCGGAGCCTCTGAGGACCCGGGGCGCTCGGGCTCCCAGACGCACTGCGAGCGGGCTCAGGGCGCCGCCTCGCGGTCGCTCCGGGAACTGCAGGACCCTGCGCCTCCTCCACGCTGCGCCTCCCGCCCCCAGCTCCGCGGCGGGGGGCCCAGCCAGGTTCCTCCTTCCCTGCCCGTTGCACCAGGTGGCGGTGCCACGTGCACACTTATTCCCCCCCTCCCCCCGCCCTAGACGGGCACTCACAGGGCCACAGGAGAGCGGCGGGCAGCGCTGACTCTGGCAGCGCACGGCGCCGGCCACGCAGGAGCAGCTGGTGCAGGGGTCCACGGCCCAGCTTTCCCCGGAGGCCACCTCTCGGCCCTGGTGCTCACATGACTGGGCAGGAGCTGAGGGGACTTGGGGGGAGGGGGGAGGGCAAAGGTCAGCTGCCCCTGCCTCACCCTGGGTCTCGGTGCTGCTCCCTCCATCACCCGGCCCGCACCTTGGCAGCGTTCACAGCACCTGCCAGTGTCTCGAACCTTCACCCAGCCATGTGGGCAGGAGAGGGCCTGGCACTCCTCAAGGCGGCACTCCACGCGGCCCAGCTGAGGACAGAGGCCACTGCTCTAGGGACTTCCGCTAGGTCCCTGGTCACACTTCTGGGGGCTCTGTTCTGAGGCAGCAGCCCCTTCTCCCTGGAGCTGCTCCAGAAGAACCACCACTTCCTGTTCAGGTGGGGCCTGAAGTCCAGCCCTCAGCTCCGTGCCCAGCACAGGGATGCCTCTTCCCCCTCTCACCCAGAGGGGCGCCCTTTCCTAATTACCTCAAAGACCCCCCCCCATATGCATTGGCCCAGCGTCCTGAGGCTCCCCTCTTCTATAAGGCCCTCCACCCCCACTCCTCACCCCCAGCTCACATGGCAGGTACAAGTAATGCAGGCGTTGCTGGGGTCCCGCCAGCTCTCTCCATCGGCCACTCTCCGGCCCTCGGCCTCCACCACACATTCTGATGGGAAATGAGGCTGGGGGAGCACTGTCCTTCCAGCTGCATCCCTCCTCCCTGGAGCGCACCCTGCAGGCCCACAGCAGGGGGTGCCCCCCCCACTTAGCACCCTGATGGTGTTCATTTCTTCAACCACATGCAGGGGGGCTACCAGAGGACAGACCCTGCACCGGGGATGTGGAGAGAGTTCTGGAAGCCGAAAGAGCCATAGGCTGGAGCCCTCCTCGGGCCTGGCTGCCAGCTGGGCAGTGCAATACCCTACCAGGGGCCTGTGGTACTGAGCCCACTGACAGGCCTCAGGCCAGGCCTTGAGAATCCAGGCTTCATTCTCTGCCTCCCTCTGCCTCAGGGTCTCTCCTCCACCCCAACGATAAGCCCTCCGTTTCTACAAAAGAACGAAGCCAGCATTTACCCCGGCACACAGGGCAGCAGCCCCCAGGGGGGGTATGGCGCTCTGAGGGGGGACAGCTGAGCTCAGGACAGGCCTGGTGAACGCAGAGCCAGGTCAGGTCCTGTGAAAGGGCATGAGAACACGGTGGGTAGAGAATGGGGGAGGGCGCCGGCTCTTCGCGGAATGTGACATTCAGGGCAGGTGGGCGAATGCCGGGTGAGTGGGAATCCCGGAGCTGCGGCCGGAGATTCGGCCCCAGCCCACAGAGGCGGTTCATGGAGCTTTGGGAATCCCCAGGGCCGAGGGCTCACCTGGCACTGGCAGGTGTAGCAGGGGTCCAGCGGGACCAGCTCAGACCCCAGCAGGCCCTCTGTGCAGTTACTCAAGGCCTCTGTGTAGACAAGAATGCAATTGAGGGTAAAAGGGGGGCAAGGGATGTAAGCCCAGGTGACCGTACTCACCCACTCTATCCTCAGACCCATGTCCCCGGCCCTTGACTCCAGGAAGGATAAATCCTTTCCCGCTGGTTCAGCAGAGGAAAGTTTGGACTTTTCAAGAGGAACTTTGCTAGGCTACTGGGGGGAGGGGGCTGGACACTGGCCACGTGTGGCTTCCTTAGCCTGAGGTCCCTCAGGACCACACGCCGCGCTGCCTGCCCCCCGCCCCGCTCCCTTCATATCGCCTGGCTAAAACGGCACAAGAACGCACAGAGAGCCAGGTAACCCGGCTCCAATCCTCAGTGCCTGTGCCATTTTAGGCGGATCAATCAACCTCTTAGAACCTCAGTTTCTTCATCTGTAAAAAGGGAATAATAATAATGCCTACCTCACTGGGTAACTGTGAAAATTAAACGAGATACTGCTCATTAAAATCACCAAGCAGCGCCCTAACCGGTTTCGCTCAGTGGATAGAGCGTTGGCCTGCGGACTGAAAGGTCCCAGGTTCGATTCCGGTCAACGGCATGTACCTTGGTTGCGGGCACATCTCCAGTAGGGGGTGTGCAGGAGGCAGCTGGTCGATGTTTCTCTCTCATCGATGTTTCTAACTCTCTATCCCTCTCCCTTCCTCTCTGTAAAAAAATCAATAAAATATATTAAAAAAAATAAAATCACCAAGCAGCGCATGGCATGCAGGGGTGCTTAATAAGTGTTCGTCTTTTTTTCTTTTCCTGAAGCACAAGTGCTGATAAGAATGGCTCTCCCCATCTCTGGAGCTGGGCCACTCACTGCCCCTCTTGACCCGACATCATTGCCCTCAAAAGCCAGCAGCTGGCACAACTGCCACCCCACAGCACCACCTGCTGGGCAAAATGAGTCAAGAGGTCCCTGCCAGCTTCCCCCGTTCCCCTTGGGGTGGTGCAAGCCTCACCCGCCAGGGCAGGGCGAGGGCTTCTAGAACAGTCCTCTGGACTCAGGAAAGGTCTGGGGCTGGGACTGTGGCAGAGAGCTGGCTGGCACTTCCAGTGTCAGTCAGGGGGTGGCAGCCCCGCCCTCTCCTATCAACCCTCTATCAGTGACTCACGGGCACAGGTGGGACAGCAGTGCTGAGGCCCCGGGGGCAGGAGCTGGCTGGCAGGGCAGCCCACCAGGCTGGGACACTGCCGTCGGTGACAGCGAAGGCTGGGAGGCCCCTCGGGCTGCAGCTGCAACAGGAACGAGTGAGCCAGGGCTGGGCCCCAGACCCCTCCGTGTGCCTGCAGCACCTCCTCAACAGCCCCCCAGACTGCCTCCTCACCCCTAATCCCCAGCGATGATTTCCCTTTCCAGTCATTGGGCCTGAACCGTCTGTGACCTTTGACCCTCCTGCACTCTCATGCCACCCTTTTCCCAACGCCACTGCCTAATCTCTGGACCTATGATGTCACTGCCTGCTCCCCATTGATGGAGATTCTCAGTGGCCCCAACCACTTCCCAGGTGTCTCCTCGCCCATCCTATTCACACCCACTCTACACTCCTGCCAGGGGGGGCCTGCCCACTGCCTCCCCCACTCAGCACCGGTGCCACGGCTAACCCCAGACTTCTGGGCCCTGCTGGCTCTTCGCCCCAAGCCCTGCCTCACCTCCTGGTCACTGGGACACTCTCCTGTCTCTGACCCTCCTAGTGCCTGCTGCCCGCAGTGTCCAGGCTGCCCCCATGGTGCCCCACCCCCAGCATGGCCCTCACCCACCTCGCAGATGCACACTTCACAGGGGTCGGCCCCAGGCTGGAAGCTGTCCCCTGGCTCATACTTCCGGCCCTCATGCTCACAGTCTTGGGGGTGGGGTAAGAGCAGAATAGGACCAGGGGGCCTTCAGGCTGGCAGCAATGCCAGGGGTGGGGTTCTCTGTCCCCCAGGGACCCCAGCCCCCAGGATTTAGGTGTGTACAAAAATGGGACCCACTTCTGGAAAGGCTTGTTTCTGCCGCCCCACCCAGTGCCAAGGCAGGGAGATGCTGACCAGGCACTACCTCCCTGCCACCCACCCCACCCCAGGCTCCCAGTACCAGAGCATCGAGGGCAGCAGTCACTGGGCCCCTGGCGGGGATGGGCACAGGAGCTGACGCACTGGACTCGGGCGCAGGTGACAACACCCTCGCGACACATGCAGGAGGAGCAGGGGCTGTCCGGAGGCTCCCAGGTACTGCCTTCAGGGTGCTCCTCCCCGTGGGCCAGGCAGCCTGTCCCAGGTGGGCAGGGGTGACTCTGAGTCTGGGTTCTGTCTGCCCCCGATGGCCCACCCTGGGTGGTCAGCAGGGCCTGGGGTCTGGCCTGGGAGGGGATCTGCAGGGGTGAGGTGGGAGGTGGCCTGGCAGAACTGCTGTCTGCGGTGGAGGGAAGACACGGCTGGGCTCAGAACGCCTGGTCTGTAATCCCTGGCACGTCTGCTTGCTAAACCAAAGGCCAGGCAGCAGGCACTGCCTGTGGTAGCCCAGCCTCAGCACCAGTGCCTGGCATGCAGCAGGCATCTAACACATGCATGCAGAATGAATGAAAGGTAACTCAATCTCTCCAAGCCTCAGACTCCATCGCTGTTAAATAGAATTTCCTCTGTGTGCCCCCTCACAGTGAGATGCTGTCATGGTTCCGGAATCTAAGCCATGCTGGGCAGAGGGCAGGTCAGAAAGGCTCCTATTCAGGCAGCCTAGAAGCAAAGGTTGTCTCTGCCACCTGCCAGTTATATTACCTCTCTGCACCTCAGTTCTCCCATCTGTGAAATCGGAATAATAATAATAGTGCCTCCCTGATAAGATCTTTGTGTGGATTAAAGTGCTTAGCTCCTGGTATATGCTCCGTAAATGTGATCATGATGATGAATGGGGTGTGGTTAGGCAGGGGGCAGCTTTGAGGGGGCTCTACTAAGCCTCTGGAGGGGGAGATGGTCTGGGCAGGCCAGGTAAGAAGAGCTGAAGGAGGACAGGGGTGAAGTCTCAAGGACGGAGGTGTGGGAGGGCAGATGGGTGGGCAGGGAGGTGGGAAGACAGGAGGGGAGTTTGAGGGAAAGGAGGTGGGGCAGATGGAGGCGCGTTGGGCCCAGGGGCAGAAGCAAGGGGCAGCCCCACCGGCCGGGCACACCTCTGCAGCGAGGGCAGCAGCTCCCCTGCTCGGTGACCTGGAGTGGGCAGGACAGGGGTGGGCACCGCCGCCGCACACAGCTGACGTGGCCGGCCTGCAGAAGATGCCGGGTCAGTGACTTGCTCCTTAGGCTGGGTGCCCGAGAGGCAGGGTGCCCAGCCAGCGCCCAGCCCCCTCTGCCCCCTCCCGGCCATACCTGGCAGCGACACCTCTCGCAGCTGCCTGTGGGCCCCTCAAACTCCTCCCCATCCTGGTGCTCCCGGCCCTGAGAGAAGCATCCTGTGGGCGACATGCTTTCTGGGTGGGACGCTGTGCCACCTTGCCCTGTCCAACCTCAGGCCTGGGAAAGGCGAGGAGGAGGGGCAGGGAGGGGCCCCGGGGGCCTGGGTGTGGGGAAGGCAGCTCACTGTGGCACACAGGGCAGGAGCAGGGGCCTGGGGAGGGGTGAGGGCAGAGAGCAGGTGGACATGGCTTCTTCTGGCAGCGCATGGAACCTTCCTGGGGAGAGAGGTCACACTGCCACTTCCTGATCCCCATGTCATCACACCCTCAACCCAGGCTTCACTCTGCCCCAAGATGGGGCACCCCCTCCGAGCCTGCCAGGCCCAAACCCCCCTGGCTTGACCAGGAGGCCTGAGTCCAGTCCTGTCCCACTTGTCACAGGCAGAGGTGCGCTGTGAGACTGGGGGGGGGGGGGTAAACAAGCCGGCCAGAAAGGAGGGTCAGAGATGAAGGTTCCCGGGTTCCCCAAGGCCACCTCACCTGGCAGGTGCACAGGGAGCAGGTGGGGTCCAGTGGGTCAGGGAGGGTCTCTCCTAGGGCAGCAGTGACTCCATGATAGAGGCATCCTGGCAGAGCAGGGAAGGCAGTGGGAGAGCTGCTGTCAACAGAACCGTCTCCTGCCTCACACTCACACTCACACATATACACTCACATATACTCACATATACTCACAATACTATACACTCACACTCATACTTTCACACACACATACTCTCTCACATATACACTCACACACACTCACACACATACTCTCATACATATACACTCACACAATACACTTACACACATACTCACACTCATATACTCTCACTCGCATATACTCACAATACTATACACTCACACTCATACTTTCACACACACATACTCTCTCACATATACACTCACACAATACACTTACACACATACTCACACTCATATATTGTCACACACATACACTCACGCTCATACTTTCACACACATACTCTCTCACATACACTCACGCACATACACACTCTCACACACACATACACACACGCACACACAGCCGACCTGGGACCTCTCAAAGCTTAGGGGTCTGAGAGGGAGAGGGGGTGGCTGGGAAGGTGGGTGAGGAGAGGTTTCACCGGCTGTAAGTGGTGAGCTTTGCACGCAGGGAGGCCGTGGAGCTAGGAGGTGGGCTCACAGAGGAAGGTGAGCGACAGGCGGGGCTCCCGAGGCACCCAGGGCAGTGGGAATCGTTTTGAGTCTCGTGATGTGCTGTTTTAGGAAGGCAGCAGGACAGCTTAAGAGAAGAAAGGTCTGGAAGCACAGGAACCGGTTATTTGGTGAGCCCAACACCAGTGAGAGGTGACAGCAGGGACAGAGGACACAGACAGTGGAGGCGCGGGGTGGAAACGCAGGGTGTGGGTCTGGGGGCGGCTGTCTCATGACTCTGGGCTGCTGGAGGTCAGGAAGGGGCGGGCGGTGGAGGGGCAGGCGTTGCCCTACCCTGGCAGGTGGGGCAGCAGTGCCCAGATGGGATGAGCGGGTGGCTGCAGCCCAGAGGCTCACAGGGTCTGCGGCCGCAGGTCACAAAGCCTTCCAGGCAGGTACACAGGTTGCAGGGCGCTCGGGGCTCTGGGAACTCCTGGCCGCTCAGGTAGGACTCCCCCAAATACTCACAGCCTTGAAGAGAGGACAGGGAGAGGCAGGGTGGGGTCAGGAGGGGTGAGAGGACAGCAGTCACCAGCTATGAGCTTGCCCCTGGCCCGAGTCCAAGGCCTCAGAGAGATGGCCACGGTGGGGAGGGAGGCCTCCATCCAGGCTGACGGACACAGAAGTGGGGAGTTGGGGGGAGAGTCGGACTGGCCAAAGGGCAAACTTTCTCCCGTTCAGCTGGCAGAAAACTCCCTGTCCGTCCGATCTATAGGGAAAACCCGCACGGAATCTGTCCCTAGGGTTGAATACCCAGCAGGCCACTGCCCGGCCAGAAGGCACCATTTTTTCCAACCTGACCTTAGAGCTGGGAGGTGCTTGAGATGACTTAGGTGGCCTGGACCCAAGGCATCCCCTTTCCAACGCTCTTTCAAGCCCTCTGACCAATCAAGGAGGGGCCGGGGCCCAGGGTGGGGCAGCTTGCCCTGAGCGGCTGACACTTTCTGACCTTTTTGAAAAAGAAGGCACTTTAGGTGACAATGACCTGTCAGTGTGAGCTCATCAACTGTAACCAATGTACCACCCTGCTGGGGGGCCCTGATAATGAGGAGGGCCGTGCTGGGGCGGGAGGGGGGGGGCGAGGGCGGGATATATGGGAAGAATCTGCACCTTCCTCTTAATTTTGCTGCGAACCTAAAACTTTTCTTTAAAAGAAAAAGTCAGTAAAAACAAGAAAAAGGGGGTGAGTCTCAGGCTCAAAGCCTTAGAAGGCAAAAGTATCTGACTTGAATTTAATATTTGATTTTTAATTGTATTCATTTTAATAGTAATATTCTACTCCTTGAAAATCTAGTTTTCCATTTACAGTATGATATAAAGGTTCCTTTCTAAATAAATTTCCATTTAAAATTTCAATTTGAAGAAAAATACTAAATAAATAAAGTTACAGGTGGTAGAGGGTATTAGAAACAATTGCTAAGATAATGACCGAGGACTGGTCTTGTTCAACTCTTTTTTTACAGGAGTTAAGATTAGGCCCAGAGTCACTCTTAAAAATGGTTAGGATGGTAAATTTTATGTTATGTGTTTTTTCAAACATTGACAGAAATTAGGCTCAGAGAGGTTATGTAACTTGCCCAAGGTCACACAGCCAAACAGCGTCAGAGGCAGGAGCAAACCCAGGCTTTAGTCCAGGGCTTTCTCTTTCTTAGTGTAATAAGAACCGGGGCCCTCTCGAGGGCAGTGAGGATGACTCTGACCCAGCCCTCCCGCCTCGCCCACCCCCTGTCCCTGCCCCTCACCATCACAGGCAGGGCAGCAGTCACCCCTGGCAGGGAAAGGGCACTGGGCAGGGGCACAGGCCCTGGGCTCGCAGCTGACGCTGCCCTCCAGGCAGAGGCAGTCGTGGCACCGCACTGTGGGCGACGGGAAGCGCTTCCCGCTGGCCAGCTCCTTCCCCTCATACAGGCAGCCTAGGGGGCAGGGACAGGGCAGGGCTGGGGGGCTGTGGTGGCTGTCTACCAGGCCCACCACCTCCCGGGCACTGCCCCCCCAAATTCTGAGCGGGGAGGGCCAGGCCAGGGGGAGGGGAAGGCGGGGTGGCGCCCAGGCTGGAGCTGGAGAAAGGCGGGCGAGGAGTCGGAGGTGACCACGCGGGGGAGGCTCCGCCCCGAGGTGGAAGCAGCGGGTGGCGGGGGGCGGCGGGCCAGGGCGTTACCGTCACAGGAGGGGCAGCAGGGCCCCTGGCGGGGGTGGGCGCAGGGCGCGGGCGGGCAGGGCAGGCGCTGGCAGGACACGGAGCCGTCCAGGCAGAGGCAGCGGTGGCAGGGGTCCCCCGGCAGGAAGAAGTGCTCCTGGTGGCGCACGGGCTCCAAGCCCCCCGGCCTCGGACAGCTGGACGGGGAGGCTGAGGCCAGACGGCGTGCATCATGGGGCGCCCGGGGAGAGGCTGCAGAGCCCCCAACCCGGGGGGGGGGGGGCGCGGCCCGGGGTGCAGCTCTCACCTGGGCACTGCGGGCAGCACTCTCGGGGCAGCAGGACCGGCTCCGCACAGGGCAGCGGAGGGCAGCGGCGGGCCAGGCACTGCACGTTGCCGCTCTGCGTGGACAGAGGGACCCCGGCGCAGGGTGAGTGCTGGAGGCAGAGGTGACCTCCACCCTTCCCAGCCCACCGCGTGGACTGCGCCTGGCCGCCCCCAGCCCCACCCCTGCTCCCCTGCCTCCTCCCACCCCGGGGGCGGACTCACCAGACAGTGGCACAGGCGGCAGGGGTCAGAGGGGTGGGGGAAGTCTGCTCCGTGGGGGTACTCTTTCCCGCCGAAGGCACAGCCTGGGGGAGGGGGCAGCTATAGGCCTGGGAGAGGCCCTGCTTGCCCCGGGTCATGCCCTCCCAGCCCTAAATGCCCACAGGAGGGGCCAACCATCCCAGGAGACCCCCTTCCTGTCCGCCTCACCATGGCAGTCGTTGCGGCAGCAGGGACCAGGCAGCGGGTGGGTGCAGGGGGGCTTGGGGCAGGCCCGAGGCTGGCAGCGGGCGTGGCCCTCCTGACACCTGCACTCCTGGCAGGGGTCTCGGGGGTGGGAGAAGCTCTCGCCGTGCGCAAACACTTGTTCCTCCAGGACACAGTCTGGGCAGGGGGTGGGGAGGAATGGGGACGAAGACTGAAGGCGCCAGGAGCTGGCAGACAGCTCCTCTCCCCTCGGAGCCCGGAGCTATGGTGGAAGCTGTCCCCACAGAGGGAGAGGAGGGGGCTGTGATGCAGGCATGGGTGTCTCTCTGAGCGCACACGTGTGTGTATGTGTGAGCGTGTGCACACACGTGTGTGTACAGTCCTTTCACCTGCAGGCACATGTGTGTGCCTTGAGGGTGAAAAGCTGAAGGGCTCCATAGCACACTCTCCAGGGGCTGGGGGGGGGGGGGCACACTGCATTCCAGCACCCCGGCTCCCTCAGGGCACATCCAAACGTGTGTGGCATGAACGTGGTGTGTGGCATGAACGTGGTGTGTTACACGGGCAGACAGACAAAGATATCCGAGTGGTGGGTGCGGGAAGAGGAGACTTGGGTGGGGAAGAAGGGTGACAGGGGGACGTGAAGGAGAAACAAGTCCCTCCCACCCACGCCCTGTGCCTTCCAAGCTTCGCCAGACTGAGCCGTGGGAAGGCCGTGGCTTTCTAAGGGGACCGCCGTGCCCAGGGGGTGGCGGGAGGGCCAGGCCTAGGTCCCCCGAGCCAGACAGGTCCAGTGAGCACGTACCTGGGCACCTGGGGCAGCACTGGCCTGGTCCACTCTGGGGCCTGGCGCACGTTGTGGGTGGACAGTCGGCCAAGGAGCACCTCACAGTCCCGTCCTGGGAGTGGGGGAGAGGGCAGTGGGGGTCAGCCCTGGGAGGGGCTCAGAGGGCAGCAGCCAGCCTGGGGGGTACCTCGCATCGGCAGGCGTGGCAAGGGCTGTCCGTGTCCGTGAAGTTCTGCCCGTTGGCATACACGTGGCCGTGGTAGGTGCAGCTCTCACAGCTGGGGCAGCAGGCGCCTGGGCGGGCAGATGGGTCAGAGCCCAGCTGATCAGGGCGGGCGGGGCACAGCCGGGGGTGGAAGGCAGACCAGGGCGGGGCACTCACCAGGTGTCTGGGTGGGGTGCTGGCAGGGGGCTGGGGAGCAGAGCACAGCCCCGCACACGGGCACCCCGTCTTGGCAGGAGCAGGCTGTGCAGGGCTGACCATCAGGCTCCCACTGGACACCCTCAGCAAACTCCTCTCCACCAAGCACACAGGCTACAGCAAGGGGGCCGTCACCATGGCAACCTAGACACTTCCACCCGCCTTCCCCTTCCCAGGACCCCAGCTTTACCACCCGCACAGCAGCCTCTGAATATACGCTGGGAGGGTTGGTGGCCTTAGCAAGGCCCCCCTTACTTGAAGGAACACCCCTCCACCTCCAGCCACTGGAAGCAGCGCCCCTTTGCAGCTGTTTCTCCCCTCCCCCCACCCACACACCTGAGCACAGCTGGGGACCAGAGTCTGGCAGGGTGCAGGGGGCGACCGGGCACTCCTGCTCCTCACAAGAGACCTCGCCGGCCTAGGAGGGAGGGACACTGGGTGAGAGGCCCTCAGGATGAGGCCGATCTGGGGCATGAGACCGGGCCGCCTACCTGGCAGGAGCAGCGCAGGCAGCGGCCACCCTCTTGGAGTCGGAAGGTCTCCTGGCTCTGATAGTGGTGTCCCTGGTACTCACAGCCTGGATGGGGGGCAGGGTGGGGGGACAGGGCTGGAGGCTGATGGGGACGCCTCACTCCCCCTGACATCTACCTCCCACCCTGATAGGGACAGCCACCTTCAGGGGTCTTGCCAGCCCCCCACCGCCAGAAGCCAGGGCCCCACCACTGTGCCCGTGTGCCATGAGAAGGCGGGAACTAGTCCCTCCTGGTGGGGACAGGAGCTTAGTTCCATAAAGGATTTCCTCTGGACTTTAACTCAGGGGGGCCTCCTGCAGGCCCAAGGCAGCAACGGCACCCACAGGCCAGGGACTCTCTGTCCAGGGCCTGCCCCTCACCCAGGGCCTGCAGCCTCCCACTCACCGGCACAGACGGGGCAGCACTGCCCGGGGAGCCTGCCTGGGTGTCTGCAGGGCGCAGCCGGGCAGGGCAGAGGCTCGCACTGGACGCTCCCGTTCTGACAACAGGGCCTGGTCAGCATTGGAGAGGCAGGCCCGGGGGCCAGGCCCCCCCTGCGGGGCGGCCACACTCACAGCACAGCGGCAGTGCGAGCAGGGGTCCCCGGAGCCCACCGGCTCCCCGCTGTGGTACTCCCGCCCGTTTAGGAAACAGCCTGTTGGGGAGAGGGTGCCTTAGACCCTCCGCAGGGGTCCCCCACTGCCCCAAGTCCTGGCCTTCGTGGGAGACCGAGCCTGGGCGTCATTCAGCTTTGGAGCCCCTCCAGGCCCCACCCTTTGGACTGTACCATCGCACACGGGGCAGCAGGTGCCCGGGAGGGGCCGGGCAGGTATGGGCACAGGCTGGAGCATTCTCGCTGGCGGCACTGGATTTGGCCCTCCTGGTAGGGGCAGGGGGTGAGGCAGAAACAGCATTTGCGTCCCAGCTATCCACTTATTAGACGTTGTTATGCGTGGAATTGTGTCCCCCACAGACACAAATTCATCTGTTGAAGTCCTACCCTCCATCGCCCTGCACCTCAGAATATGACCTTATTTGGAAATAGGGCTGTTGTAGAGGTAGAGTTAAGGTGAGGTCATACCAGAGTGGGGTGGCCTCTAATCCAATGCCTGGTGTCCTTGTAAAAAGGGGAAATTTGGACACCCCCCCCCACACACAAACACATACACACACAAACACATACACACACAAACACATACACACACAAACACATACACACACACACACACACACACACACACCACACACACACACACATACACACACACACACACAAAGCAGCATGTGCAGATGAAGGCAGAGGCCTAGGAACACCACAGCTTGAACCACCGGAAGCCAGGAGAGAGGCCGGAGCAGATTCTCCCTCACAGCCCTCAGAAGGGACCAACCCTGACCGCACCTTGATCTCAAACTTCTGGCCTCCAGAACCACGAGACAACACATTTCTGTTGGTTAACCGACCAATCAATGTCTCTCTCTCACATTGATGTTTCTCTCTCTCTCTCCCACTTCCCTCCACTCTTTCTAAAAAAAAAATAATCAATTGAAAAAATATCCTTGGGTGAGAATATAAAATAAAAAAAGAGAGACAATAATGTTCCTCTCCTCATAGCCCCGTTATGGGCGTGAGGTGAGGTGTCTGGTGTGGCGTCAACCTCTGGAAGCTGGCAGCTACCCAACAGCAGCCGCTGCTACTTCCCTGGCCTTTGCCACCTAGACCAGCCCTGGAGCTCATGCCCACACCTGGACGCACTGCCTCTAGCACCATTAGTGTCTGGGCAGCCAGGGACTCTTCTCACAGGTGTGTGAGGGGCCAGTGTGAACAGGGAGGGGAAGCACATGGTTGTAAAGGGTCCATGGCAGGGGTCCTCAAACTACGGCCTGCGGGCCACATGCAAATACAAATATTGTATTTGTTCTCGTTTTGTTTTTTTACTTCAAAATAAGATATGTGCAGTGTGCATAGGAATTTGTTCATAGTTTTTTTTTAAAACTATAGTCCGGCCCTCCAAAGGTCTGAGGGACAGCAAACTGGCCCCCTGTTTAAAAAGTTTGAGGACCCCTGGTCCATGGCCTTCACAATGGGCTCCTTAGTCCTTGGCAGGCTGTGCTCTGTGGCTGGCTTCAGGCCCATGAAACAGCCTTCCTCCGCATGCCCCCTGCCTGAACCGTAGGTCTCCGGCCCCCACCTTCCTCCCCCAGGTTCTGCCCGGATGTCCCTACACCAGGTGTCTCCTCTGCTTGGGCTGCTGGAAGTCCAAGATCAAGGTACCAGCAGTTGGCGAGAACCTGCTTTCTGGCTCATAGAGGGCTGTTTTCTTGTTCTCACATGCAGTGGGGGGGGGGAGCGGGGGGAGGGTGGGTGCTGAAGCCCTAAGGGTGTGATCCCATTCCCTCAGCACCTAAGCGCCTCCCAGAGGCCCCACCTCCTAATACCATCACCTTGGAGGTTAGGATTTCAGCACATAAAGGGGGGGGGGGCACGTCTCAAACATTCAGCCCATAAGCCCTGGAGCGTCTGTCCCCATTCCCCCCTCCCCCCCCGGCACTTAAGTCCTACTCACCCTCTAAGACCCAGGTAAACACCACCCCGCCATGAAGACTTTCTAGAGCTGTGCTGCCCCACAGAAATACAACACAAGCCACGTAGGTCACTTTAAACTCTCTAGTAGTCACATCCCAAAAAACAGAAACAGGTGAAACTAAATGTTAATGTTCCACTCAACCCAATATATCCAAGATGTTATTTCAGCATGTGATCGGCACAGCGTATAATGAGATAGCGTCCACTCCTTTCTCTCGCACTCCATCTTTAACTGGTGTGTATTTTGTTCTGAAAACCCGTCTCAGATCGGATGGCCACATCTCAAGGGCTCAGTGGCCACATGCCGTTGTGGCAACCGATCAGACCTCGAAATTCCAGACACCTCAAACCCGTCTGCGTCTCGCCCTCCCTGGCCTGTACCACCGGCCACATCCTGCCCCGCCTCACTCCTCTAGCTGCAAGCTCCTTGACTTCAGTTCACCAACCCATGCTGCACTCCTGCGCTGCTCAGAGCTGGGCATGCAGACGGGCACGACCCCGCCCCAGACCCCGCCTCTCCACCCCTGACCCCTCACAGGGCCTTTGGGATGCGCTCAGTGGAATGAAGGCCTGAATGTGGTGGGTCTGGGGGAGCAGGGGGGGGGGTGGAGGGGGAAGCCCAGGAGCAGGTCGGGGCTCACCAGGCACTGGCAGAGCCGGCAGGGGTCCCCAGGTGCAGTCCATTCTTGGCCGTGCTCCCGGCGAGAGCCACCTTCTGTGCAGCCTGGTGCTGGGGGGAGAGGGGCAGAGAGGAGGCCCGATGGGAGCCAGCCTGGACCCCAGTTTCAGTCTGCCACCCCTCTCCTCTGAGCCCAGGCGAGACCAGGTCATGCCTCTGCCTAGACCTCTCTTGGCTGCCAGCGTCCCAAGCTGGGCAAGGCCGCGCTCCTAGCCCGCCTTCCACGCTTTCCAGCACCCGGCGTGCCACGCCCACCTCCCCCGCCTCCCCGTGTGAGATTTGTCTGCTTGCACCTTCCCACCTACCATCCACCAAACTCCCTCTTGAGTGTCGGTCCCAAGCCTCTGCTCTAGCGGCCCCCTCTTCCTGGGATGGCCTCGGCTTACTCCACCCTCCACCTGGCCAACTGCTCTTTATCCTCAAGGTTCACTCAGGACGCTTGCCTCCTGTGCCCACCTGGGCTAGGACTCCTCCCCCTGAGGTTCCATGGAACCTGGTGCCTGCTCCCACTCCTGCTTTGGGGAGAGTCTTGGTGTGTGACTCAGTGTCACCCTCTAGTGGTCTGCCCAGGGCCCACCGGGTCTTAGGTGCACACAGTAGGTACTAGTCAGCATTATGAAGGTAGCATATCATTACCCACACCTCACAGACGGGGAGCTGAGGCACAGAGCAGCTCCCTCAGAGGCACCACCACAACTCCACACGGACAGGATCTGAGCTCAGGACCCGCTCCAGGGCGGGCGTGGCCAGGCGTCACTCTCCCGCTGCCCGGACCCCCAGGTCCGAGCCAGCAGGGTGGGCTCTGAGTGAGGAAATGACGGGACAGCCCTGCCTGGAGCCGCCTAGGGAAGAGCCAGGGCTCACCTGGGCAGGCCGGGCAGCAGTGGCCAGGCCTCAGGACTGGCTCAGGGCAGGGGCTGGCCGGGCACTTCATGGGCACACAGCGAACCAGGCTCCTCTGTAACGTACCAACAGCTGTAAAGCCTCTGGGTCTGGCTCCCAGAGAGAGCACGGCAGGCAGGTGTGGGCACCCTTGGGAGGTGGGCACAGGTCAGGCAGAGAGGGAAGGGCCCGGAACACATGTGAGGCTGAGAGCAGGGCACCTCCCAGGGCCTGGGCAGAGGGTGCAGGGACTCACCAGGCAGGAACACTGGAGACAAGGGTTGGAGCTGGACAGGAAGCTGGCCCCCTCCTCGTAAAGCTGCCCCTCGTAATCACAGCCTGGGGAGGGTGCCAGGATAACAGGCTGGTCAGGTGAGAGCGGGGTGGGCGGGCATCACCCCCGGGAAGGCATGACCCCAAAGGGGTGCCGGACCCTCGGGGCTGAGGGGGTGGAGGGAAGGCAGGGTGGGGAGGTCACCTGGCCGGCAGACGGGGCAGCACTCCCCGGGTGGGGTGTAGCTCTCCAGGCAGCTGAGCTCTGGGCACGAGGGCCCCTGGCACCGCACGGTCCCTGCCTGCGGGGCAGACACTGAGCCCTCCCTCCCTCCCTCTCCACTGCTGGTTTCTGGGAGCTACTCCGCTGGCCTGCAGGCCTAGCGGGCTCCGGGCCCCGATGCCTGGGTGGCAGCAGCAGCCCTGGCAGGCCCCAGGTTGGGGTGGCACTGCCAGGCCTGGGGGTCACCAGCAGAGCAGCAGGGACCTGGGTGGTGGTGGTGGGTGGGGACAGGCTCTGATCCCTTACCTGGCAGGTGCAGGTGACACAGGGCTCGGGTTGCCACGTCTCCCCAGCCCCGGGACCTTCAGGGCAGCCTACAAACCAAGGCCAGGCCCCCAGTAAGAGACCCAGAGGCTGTGGCCAGAGCACCCGGGAGGGCCCCACGACAAGGGAGCACCTTCGGGTGGTCGATGGCAGAGATCTTGGTATTTACTTCCACTTTCCAGGAAATGGCAGTAAAGCGTCTGACTCTAACACAATCAGGAGATTTCCATTGTTTACAGCTGATGGAAGTGTTGAGGAAGGGGTGCCTTTAAAAAATGTTTTTTAAAATTTCTTTTTATTTTTAGAGAGAGAGAAGAAGGGAGGGAGAGAGAGAGAGAACATCGATTGGTTGCCTCCTGTATGCACCACAACTGGGAATCAGACCCAAAATCTGGGCACGTGCCCTGACTGGGAATCGAACCGGCGACCTTTTGGTGCATGGGACCCCGCTCAACCAACTGAGCCACACCAGCTAGGGCAGGGTGTCTTTTTAAAAATATATATTTTTATTGATTTCAGAGAGGAAGGGAGAGGGAGAGAGAGAAACATCAATGATGAGAATCATTGATTGGCTACCTCCTGCATGCCCCCTGCTGGGGATCGAGCCCACAGCCTGGGCACGTGCCCTTGACTGAAATCGAACCTGGCACCCTTCAGTCTGCAGGCTGATGCTCTATCCATTGAGCAACACTAGCCAGGGCAGAGTGCCCTTTTAAAAAAAAAAAATCCACCCCTCACAGGGTGATCTGATCATGAATTCCTAACTGGGCCGATCGTGATGGGTAGTAATGTCCAGGCATATAAACTTCTTAGTAAAAAACTTACATATTTTTTCTTTTTTTGGTGGTGGTGGTGGTGGGGGGGGTGGATCTTTGCTTTTATTGTGCCACTAGGTTAACACACTTTTGAAATAAGCCAAAACCACCCTCAAGAGAGCACATAAATCTTAACTATCTTGGAATCCAATTCCTGCCTTGGTTTCTCCAACCTTCCTTATCTCCCCTCCTTAATTTCAAATGCATTGAAGAAGCTGCAAATCTGTTATGCGCCAGAACATTTGAGAGCTTGCTCCTCGGCTTATGTCATCAGTTTGGCTCAAACACACTCTTATAAAAATTATTTATGTGTCTGGATGTTTCTTGTGTTGAAAAGATAAACAAGTCATACTTGTTTAGTGTATGTTCCACGTTGCATACTTACACTAATAAAGTATGGCTTACTTATCTGAAATTCAAATCTAACAGGGCATCCTGTGTTTTTATTTGCTAAATCCGACAACCCAGTCTCCCTGATCATGAGCTGGCAACAAGCCCCAGCAGCGTGGCTTCCGCTTCCTCCCAGCTCTCTTCATCTCGCCGGCACCACTGCCCTCCTACTCCACTATTTCCTCCTTTCCCACTCGTCCGTGGGATCCAACCTGTCACCAGCTCCTGCCCGTTCTTTAGAAATACCCCTCCTTCTGCCCCACAGCCATCCCTGACTCCGCTTTAACAGTCCCCTAATTGGTCACTCTGCATCTAGCTTAATGCCAGATGACTACTCCTAAAACAGCTCTTTGAACATGCCACACTCTGGCTCTTCAACTCTCCGTGGCTCCCTATTGCCCACAGAAGGAAGTTCAAACTGCATGGCTTACAGCAGTCTGTTCCCACTGGTCTTTCCAAACTGATTTCCTGCAACCTCCCTCCCCCCCGCCCCGCCCCCCAATCTTGTGTCCAGAGGACCCTGCAGCACCGTTTCTTTTTGGTGACATCCCACTTTCTCTTGAAGATCTAGCTCAGACAACCCATTGGCACCTGGTCTGGGTAGGATTCCCCTGCCAATTATTGCCTTTCTACACCTCCTTTTAATCTGTTCATTGGATTTTATTTTATTTTTTTACTTTATTGATCTGAGAGAGAGAGAGAGAGAGAGAGAGAGAGAGAGAGAGAGAGAGACATTGATTTGTTGTTCCACTTATGTATGCATTCATTTGTTGATTCTTGTATGTGCCCTGACTGGGGATCAAACCCACAACCTTGGCATATGGGGACAGCACTCTAACCCAGCGGTCGCCAGCCAGTGGTCCTCGAACCACTGGTGGTCCGTGAGGTCCGAAAGGTTGGCGACCGCTGGACTGGGGGGAAGCTGGGGGCAGGTGGAGGGACCTAGCGGCCCAGAGCCGACCTGCAGGAGGGGCTGCCTAGAGCAGCGGCTGCCAACTGGTGGTCCATGAGGTCCGAAAGGTTGGCGACTGCTACTCTAACCAACTGAGCTACCAGCCAGGGCGTGTTCATTGGAGCTTGTATCTTCTCAGTAAGACCAGAAGCTCCCAGAGGGCAGTTGTAGCCCCAGGCCACAGTCAGTATATTGCTGACTGTGCTTCAGTTCTGGACCCCTCTAGCCACTGCCAGAACGAGTGGGCAGGCACCCTCCGGGCATGTAGCAGGTGGCAGGTGGCAGACCATGGCCCCGGGGCCCCAGAAGAAGGATGGGAAGTGGGGCCGGGGCTGGCAGGAGGCTGACCTGGCTCACAGTGTGGGCAGCATGCTCCTGGCTCCGGACAGGGTCCCCTTGGGCATGGCTTCTGGGTACAGGCTATGGCTCCTTCCTGTGGGGAGGCAGACTGGTGGGGCACTGGCATCACAAGCCTGGAGGGTGGGGCCTCCAGAACCGAAACCTCCCCCAGGCTGGGGCCTGCCAGGGGAGCAAGAGGCTGAGTCTGCTCAAGGGTCATGGGCGACTCCTGGTCCAAGGGCAGAAAAGAGACATCCGACCACCAACCCCATCACTTTCCTGATCCCAGAAATCATCTCTCCCAGGTGCCACCAAATTCCCAGAGTGGAGAGATCCTAGGAAGGGGACCAAGGCCTTCCTCAACGAAAGAGTGAGGAACAACAGGCCGGAAGAAGGTGGCTCTGGAGGCAGGTGAGGGCGAACAGGTGGGTAGATGACAGGGGCAGATGGACGAGCCGGGACAGTGAGAGTCCACAGGAGAGGGGCGATGCAGGAAGCCAGGCAACAGCATTCTCTTTGCCCTCCATGTGCATGGGGGTTGAGCCCCAGAAAGCAAAACTACTCAGAATCAGCTGAAGGCCACCAGTGGCCAGGCTTGGGGGTAGGGACAGGTGGCTAAAGGGAGGCAGCCAGGTAAAGAGGACAGGTATGGGACAT